AAAAAAAAAAAAAAAGCTCTTAAAATTACAGATCTAGACAGAAAAAGAAAATTGAAAACAAACAAGGGAATCAGCTGAATTTGATTTGAATCAACCAAGCCATTCCATGTTTTCTGCAAGGTTCAATTAATTGTAGTGCTTGAACAAAGCCATAGTTTATGCTCAAGTTCCACATACAGTAGATTCTGAAAAGCTTATATTTTTCAGTGCAGCCAGATATTTATTAATTCAAAAAGGCAAGTAGTTTTTCTCAAATTTTTCGTCATTATTAACAAGAAATTTACCTAAACAATAGAAATAATGCTAAATCAACAGAAACCACCAAAACGTGTAAAAATGACCATTCATTCATAATTTTTAATCATACATATACATTGCAACACACAACATCAAATAATAGAGCAATCATAAGTAATAAACTCCTATAAAACGCAACTAGAAACCATACAAAGAATATTTAATCCCAGGTCCTCAGCCATAGTCCTTTAAACCACTGGATGAAGGCCTCATTGGCAATAAAATTATAATGGTATCATAAGACAGGATTCGCTGTAGCACACAATCCACCGCAACGTGATAGGACCAAGCATATGAAGACCAACCGATTAAGATGCTGATATTATAAATAAAGAGTGGAAAATACAATGGTTCATGACACTTGGAGAAAGCTAGGCATGTGATATCTATGCGCCAGCTCACAGCTCAAAGGCGAGTGAAGAGATGTCGGGCATCATATATTTTTGAGGGAATGAGGGTAGCGTTGTGCTCGTACTTGTGTCAGTATTTACAAGTATAATTCAGTAGGGCATTAAATCGCACATAAAACAATTCTCAAAACTTGATGCCTCTAGTCTATTTTCCTCTCATATTCTCTCTTTCATAAAAATTCAATACCCATTCCTACCAGAACAAGGCAAAACATTTAATGACATTTGATGTAACATCAATAAGAGTCAAAAGCACTACGCATCCGCTACCAAACAACGAGTAGGATACAAATGGTGGGCCAAGAGATTCTAGCGGCATAGTTCACAGAAAAATATACCCATAAAATTTGGATGGAAGCTCCCACAGTCACTCGACTCTAAACTCAAATCCTAATCACTAAAATAAACCACACTCCACCAAGAAAACAAATCTGACATACGACAACTCTATTAAAAATACAGCAGGAAATTATTTCTTGTAGCAATAGGATTTTATTTCTTGTTTAGAATAGGACTTTTTATCCTTTCAAATTTTTGATAACTATTTCTTTTAGATTTTAAAAACACATCTCTCTTAACCTATTAGGGATAGGAGATTATTTTGCCTATATAAACAAAGGCTTCACAATTTTTTTAATAACCAATTCATTGCAACAAAATTATTTTACAAATTTTTGAGTAGATTCAACTTTATTCTCCTTTCAAGAACCCCAATTCCACTTCTACACCAAAATTGGTATCAGTGCAACGTTCTTGTAACGACCCAAAGCCTATTTTAAATGGTTAGTTATGCCATTTGGAATAAAAAATGCACCTAGCATATTTCAAAGAAAAATGGAAAGTATATTTAATAAACATAGTAAACTTGTAATTGTTTATATATATGATATTCTAGTTTTTAGTAAAAACAGAAGAGAACATAGAGGACATTCGCAGATTGTTTTCTCAGAATTTATTAGACATGGTTTAATAATTAGTAAAAAGAAAATGGTTTTATTTAAAGAATATATAGATTTTTTAGGAGTAAATATAGGAGAAGGAAAAATAAAATTACAACCTCATATAGCCCAAAAAGCTTTAGAATTTTCAGATAAATTAGAAGATTTAAAACAAATTCAAAAATTTTAACGATTAGTTAATTATGCTAGACCATTTATAAAAGATTTTGGAAAAATTGCAGGACCATTATATGCAAAGACGTCTTCTACAGGACAAAGGTATTTTAATCAAAAAGATGTAAAATTCGTTCAAGAAATAAAAAATAAAATAAAAAATTTGCCAGAATTATCTATGCCATTAGATACAGATTATTTAATTATTTAGACAGATGAAAGTTTATTAGGATGGGGTGCAGTATTAATTTGTAAACCTAATAAATATTCAGAAAAGAGTTTAGAAAAAATATGTAGATATAATAGTGAGAATTATAAAGAAAAAGGTAATATGAGTAGTATAGATGCAGAATTATTAGCAGTAAACTATGCTCTAGATAGTTTTGAATTATTTATTATTTCTAAAAAAGAAATAACTATAAGAACAGATTGTGAAGCCATTGTTTCATTTTATAATAAATTAAAATTAGATTCTAAAAAGAGTAGTAGAAGGAGATGGTTAAATTTTATAGATAGAATAGTTAATAATGGAATTAGCATAAATTTTGAATATATAAAAGGTAGTGATAACAAAGCAACAGATATATTAAGTAGAATTATTAATAAAAAAA